GCCGATCCTGCCCACAGGACCGAGTGATATGAGTCTAGAAATGCTTCTGGACACTTTTGATCTCGCCCCCATCCCAGGAAGTCAATCAGTTGCTTCGTCAGAGGCCCAGCCTAAGCACGAATTACAACCGCGACGCTGGACAGACAGGTCCGCAAGCCTAAGCTGAGGAAAATACAGTTACAACACATGGTTCCGTTTATTGCGCGGGACAATTCTTGCTGTATTCACGTCTTCTCTCTCTCTTGGTATTCGCGTCACTCGTATGACATGCTAGCTCTACATTCCGTTGCACAGCCAATCTTATTGTCCTTGATGCAGTCAGATCGTCCGCATGCACAATATGTATTTTGCCACAACTCGATTGCGGTCACCACTTGGGAAGTTTTGGTATGACGGCCTGAATTTCCCACGATTCTAAATCATGTGAAGAAGGCACACAGGCCGTCAACATTCCCACTAAAGGTCATGAATTTCACAAACAACCAAGTGCATTTTTCTGGTACTAGTCAGCCGATACATCCGTTTTTTTCGCCGTTTGCTGTACGGATAACCCTTTACTGAAGTCCTTTCCGTTTGCAATACTAATCCACGCCTGTTTTATTCCTTTTTAACAGCTGATTCCAACGCACTCAACAGCCATCGAAGACGTCTCAGCAAACGTGAGATGAAGGCCATGTTGAAACAAAACAAGCGGAACCGGTCCGCTCTAGACGAGAAACTAGTCGCAACCATGGATGAATTAGCCCTTCACCTCAAAGGTATCCATCCCTCTTTCTCTTTAGAATTTTCAATAAATAGATTCCATCTGTTTTGCCCGAGATGGCTCAGCGGTTAGAGCGCGAATTTACTGACTGGAAGGTCCGTGGTTCGAACCGGATCTCCCCTGTCTGGGTTTGGGCATCCTGGCGGCATCCCAGCTTCCTTTGGGTGGCGTGACAGCTGGAGACTGGTCTGTTTTGTCTTTGTGCATGTCGGCTACCGCTTGCATAGCAGAATTTCACTGTCTACACCACAGAGTATAGTGGTATTTCGGACGATCATGTCCATTCGGCAACTGGGAAAAGGACGGAAACTAGTGGGTACACGTACTTCATTTTGACCCGGCAGTACCAAATAACCAGAGAGACGAATCTTTACAAAAGAGTTGGTCGCGTGGTTACAGACACTGATCAGTCGACAGTTGGAGAAACCACACATTTCTTGGATACGAGCTCAAGATAGCCCAGTCGAGTTAAGGCGGCACCTTACGTACTGGAAGTTCTGTGGTTCCACTACTGCTGTCTAGGCTTGGGTGACCTGTCACTATCCCCGCCATCGTGCCTGCCAACTCCGTAACTTTCTCCACAGCTGATTGTAGACTGATGAGTACAATGAAATTTGGTCCATTACGTTTAACTTCTTTAATTGGAAGTTGTGGTAACCCCCGAGCCATGTTTAGCACCCGGATTTCTGTGGCGTTCTTGGTGCCGATTCTGGATGTCCTCTTGTTCCGACAGTCGTTTTGATAAACTGTCTAGAATATCCGTCTTCTTTGGTTGTTGTAGCGAATCCGGCCTACTTGTGGGAACGAGGTTTTGACATTGCATGTCTTCTTAAGCGGGTTGGAACTTCAGCAACTCGGATACTGTCCCGATTTCCCGTACACTGAGATTCGGGTCAATGTTTTTGAGATGTTGAACAAAATTCATGGCTGGTGCCCTATCGTTGGAGATGACCAATGTGCCGTCAACATGGGGCTTGTTATATACCACCTCTGATGTAAAGTAGTATGTCAATCATAACTATAAAAGCGTTCTTTGGAAGTGGACCCAACAGCTCCCCTATCGCCATCGCATCACTTCATCACTTCATCCTTAGCTTGAAGTTGATGTCCTCAATACACAACAGAAGCAGGCTTTTGAGGACCGCTACTAGAAAAAGGTTATTCGAGATAATCAGGTTGCGCGGAAACCCAACAATTTCGTACACCAGCACAATGGCAAGCAGTAGCTTAACATCTACGAAGCATATATATTTACCTTTGATATTGATCGCTTCCAAAGTTGTTGTGCATCTTTGGTTCTCTAATTATCTAGGTAGCTTCGACATATTATCAAACCGTCGCAGGCATAGATCGCACAAACTTGTGTTTAGCCGCATCACATAAAAGTCGGCTTATTCGAACAATTTTTCTTTACCTTTCATCAGTGATCCGACCGTCTCGATTGTAACAGATCCACATGAGAAATCGTTCTCAGAATCCGGTTGATTGTCCACTGAATCATCTGGGTGATCTTCCATATCGTTCGCGTAAATGTCCTGATGGTTTTGGTTGGGAAATGGACACACAAAACGGGAGTATGGACAACCGTCCGCGTTTGGAAATAAGTGGCTCGTATGAAGACAAATCATGTCCGAGGTTTACTATCTGGTCCATTGACTGACGGAACTAACTAGCACCGAGGTAACCCATGGGGCTATCATGCACCACTCCGAGGTTTGGACACAGTCTGACAAATCGGGGTAAACCAGATCACTGATGTAAAGTTTGTAGGATCGACGCATCAACAGACAGGAATCACCTCTTGAACCTCAACTTAATGTTGTGGACAGTTAGACATGATTAAGATCGAGGAGGTAATCTTAGATTTGTGTGATTTCAGAATCTCGCCGGTCAACTCGTGTCTTAGAGGCGTGTTAAGGTGAAAACATTTTTCTACTCTGCCACTGGGCTATTGCCGTTCGGTAGTGAGAATTTCAGCTCATCATTTAGAACTGAAATCTGCTTATCAATAGACGTTTTTGACCATCGCTCCGAACTCTTTGTCAGGCTTCATCATCATCATCATCATCGACAGCATGACATCATTGGGCGAGGTGGCCCAAGTGGTTAGAACGCGAATTTACTGACCGGAAGGTCCCCGGTTCGAATCCGACCTCTTCCTCTCGACCCTGCCTGCCTAGGCATGGCAGCTAGGCACCGGAAGGTGCTACAGCTGAACACTCTATTGTTCAACACCGATGCTTCACTGCCGCACAGCCATGATTCGTTTCAAAACCTTATTGTAAAGAAAAGAATCAAGGTGGACAGGGAAGGCTTACCACAATCACTCCGGAGTGCCTACACCTCTAAACACTCATTCAATCTGGATCGAAACTGACAACAAGAACGCAGCGTCTCCAACCAGGCACAGTGGGGATTTCGCGGTCCTCATCCTGGAAGGCGAGTAGCACCGACAGCATCCAAGCGTTTCGTAATCTCCTTCATACCCCTCTGTCAAGTCAAGGATTGGCCGCCTCTCTACTTCTACCACTGAGTTGGGCAAGGAAAACAACACTCTTTTCGGCTAATGATAGTTCCGCATACGCAACACATGTCCCAACCAACGCAGCTTCTGTTGCTGGATACATTCTGCAATGAAAGTACCCGTTGTGCAGTCGAAAACTCGCTTTCTAAATGCCTCGTTACGGATACGCCGACACCAACCCACACCGTTGTCTGTCCGTACCGAGTCTAACCCATGTCGGCCTCCTAATTGAGTCTCAGATTCCCTAAGCCTGTCCACTTGTGCGTTCATATCTCCGGAAATCACCATGATGTCTGAGCCCTTAGCTCGCCGCAGTAGGGTATTCAGGGCGTCGTAAAACCTGTCTTTGACGGCGTCGGAGCTGCAATCAGTGTGGGCGTAAGCGGACACCACTAACAGACAGCGATCAGCTTCCCGCTTGTGAGACTCCTTCACAGACGTTGCCAGACGAACCACACAGGAGCGAATATCGACAGGTATTCAGTCAAGCAAGAATACTTCCGCCTGGTGACTTAGGACGATACCAACCCCTGCACATCCCGCCACAGCCCCTGAATCACAAGAGGTTCGCAACCAGAAGCGAATGGAGACTGATGGGACGGTTAGCTCACTCACTGCGCTTGAATCTTGAACTCTCGCTTCTGAGACACAGCGCACATTAATGCCGAGCGATGCCAGTGTGAATGCAAGAGCAGCTTGTTGTCCTGCTTGCTTCAGAGTGAGGACATTGAACGCGGCCAGATAGAAGATTGATTTGGAGATTCCTGAGGATGTCGGCGTCATGTGACGAGCAGATGCTGCGTGGACAACCTATGCATCACGAACGGAGTCCTAAGTGCTGGGCCTACAAGGAGAGAGTTAATAATGGGATGGGGAGGAGGAAGAAAAAGTGTGCGGAAGAGCGAGAAGGGAGGCGTCACCAATAGCTTGTTTTCGATTACCTGCCGTCTCGATGCAGCGAGTAAGGCGACCCGGCCGATGTGGCGTTAGGTTACTGTTAGTTCTGAATGTCATAGTTTTTACATGGGCTGGGATACTCTCAGGGCGACCACACCTAGACATGAGGACGACTAGGGTCCTCGGCCAAAACCTTTGGCTCAAAAGCCTAACCGCAAGGCAGCGGTATTTGGCAGGAAATGCAAATGCCTTACCATTTATACTTAACAAGTCTCCGTACGTTTCAATTTCTAATCTGGAGGATCAGGAGTCTGTGTTTGTCAGACTTCTAACCATTGACCAACGTTGTATGAGAGATTCTGAGTGTCGCGGGGACGCCCTCTCAATGGAGGTGCACAAACCGTCACACCACGGTATGGTCCAGTCGCGTCGGTTGCCAGGCTTTAGAATAAAGTTGTCCCTGGATTTGAACCCTTAGATGCCTTCTTTCCCTATTAATTCTTTATCGTTGCTTGTATACCGTGTGGCACTTCCGGCTCACATGTATACCTTTCTACTCACGCTTGGTTCTGTCATTCTTTCAAGGTGATTGTATAATCGATCCCAATCCATCTCCGTTGAAACCCATCCGAGTCGCTGCACCTCCAAACGCGAATTCAACCACCCAAATCATCTCCACTCCTATTCGGAGAGGTGTTGGTGGTCGCAGAGCAGGGCGTCGAGGAGGGCGCCGTGGCCGTGGAGGTGCGAAACCCGTACACATTCCAAGACCTGATCCACTGTCCAATCTTCCGGCCTCTTGGGTCCCGTTAATGTTACCTTACACTCCTCCCGAACTGGACAGTCGTCCGTCTAAACCAGCATTTTTACCATGGCTTCACCTGCTGCCTGACGCTCGTGCTCATCGGTTTGCGGTATGTTTCACCCGAGCACTTTGGCCTCGAATTCTTTCATTCTTTCTGTGTACTGGACTGGGTATAGGACTTTATCGCATGTGTACTATGTGAACTTGAAGGATCCAAGTTTGCTTATGTTAGCGCTCTGTTGACTGCCAAAGTTGGAGTTGGTTAAAGTCGGCGGTGACAGCGAGGTTTCCGATGGTCAGTGGCAACGGTAACCATAGCACATCTTGTTGCTTCCGTTCTTTCACCATGAGTAGGAAAACTAACTTAGTGGTATAATGACTTCTGCACTAGTCAGCTCCATCTCGGTTTGTTTAGGCCATGTCAGAATGAATCCCGGGTAGGAAAAGTACTTTAGTGAACCGCACATATTGATGTTGGTTGTTGTAAACACAAGGCGTATTTCAGTCTGATGGACGGTCGTCTGCGAGTACAGGCCATGGCTGAGCAATGCTATGAACTGAATAGGTTTGAAGTCTGCCTTTCGTTCGCCAAAACACCCGATTCATCCCAACACTAATGGGTGAAACAGCGGTCGAAACTACTCCACGATGCGGAGATGTATCGTTCATTCCAGAAGGGTCGCAGGTTAGGTGGGGGGATTTCAACAGAGAAATCGACAGTTGTTCCTTATTGAGAGACTAAACCGCACCTCGATTGGTTGATGCTGATCTAGTCGACCGTGTATCAGCAGCGATCCGGGATATACTTGGAACCGAAATATTCTTCGAGAGCAATTCGCCGCAAAGTACGATAGTTAGTGATATCTGTTGGAATGTGTTTGTAAATCGATGTTGTACGAGCGACATCTCCTTGTGTACTCTCCTTTCAGACCAACATACGTCATGTGTTATCTCAACACTACTCCGCTGCTCAGCCTTCAGTGAGACCTATTCTGGATAGTGTTCCTTGTAAAGACAACAAACATCAAACGTTCATGGAATCCGTTACTCCGCCCAGTTATTTGAGCTTGGCCTCGACGCTTTCAGTCCGACCAACCCCAGTGAACGACGCTCACCCTCTGAAAACCGCTATGCTCTCCGTCGATAGACAACCTAAATCCAATCCCCCATTTGCTCCACAGCCGTTTGCTGAATTAGAAAGGCGAGATTTTCAAGAAACCAGCAGTTTTCCTCCTCCCCAACAAATGGAATTACGTGATGTCGTTCAAAGCGCCACAATCACCAATCCCGCTCGTCGGCCACGAGGCCGATGCAGAGGTAGACGTGGTTCACGGCTTGTGGGTTATGCCTCTGTGCGACCGACCGCTGTCATCGGTGAAGTCCAATCTAGTGTCGCGGCTTCCGGGGCGTTGGTTAATCCGGAGATTCGGGCAGCTGCTCCTGCAGTGATCCCCAATACCCCGCCGAAATCAGGTTGTGAGTTCATTTGATCGCATTTAGTCCTCCTTGTTTCCTGAAACACAACTATTTTGAGTCGTACGTTTCCTCTGCGTCTGTGTGTGTATGCGTGTGTGCTGTTGAACATCGGATCGTAATAAGTCACACAAAATCCAGTCTTTCTTTGATATAGCACATAGCGTTCTCAGCCTAAAAATTAAGGTAATTTCGAGGTCTGTTTGTGTGCTTATAGTGTAACCTCCCTCTTTCCATTTTGATCCCAGCCAAACCTCGAGTTTCCCGGGAGCTTCGCGGTCTGGTTACTTGGGATGCAGTGATTGCCCAACAGAAACGTCAACAGGAGCAGGCCGAAACCGTGCAAGAGCACCCGGAAAATGCCGGTACAAAAGTTCAATATCCGACTGATCTAACAACGGCTGTCGCTCAAGACCTCTTAGCTCAAGCTGCTCTTGAACAAAACAATTTGTCCACATCTCGGACTCGACGTACTCGTCAGTCCAGCGGAAGCGTTTTGAGCCAGGCAGCCCAATCTACTCATCACTCGGAAACGGCATCAGTTGTGACCACAACAGCTGGTGAGTATTTTGAACCAATATTTTCGCCGAGACTTCTCCTGATGTTCGAATTTACTCCAACTTTGGTGACTTTTGACCGTTCAATGTGACCTTTACGTAGCTGAATTCCTACCGAGATGATGCGCATTTTGATTGTACTCGTTGACTTTGTGTAGGTTCCAGTGATAGAGTTATTCCCGTACATCCTATTGGAACGTGGTAATTCAACTCGGAGCGAAAGCTTTGTCAGATCATGTAGAAAAAAACTAATTTGTTCATCCTGAATCCCCTTGTTTAAACACACCCGTTGGCTAGCAGCAGGTGAGGCAGTTCTTCAGAAATCGATCGGTTGTAACATGATCCTTTGGATCTTGTGAGCCCTTTCAGTGAAATGGCACATGATACCTATTTCCCTCCGTTTACTCGTGGCAACTTTGAATTCTTTTTACAGCTTCGGAGCTGACAGTCTCAGAACTTCGCTTCCGTACTAAACGAAGCGACTTTTCGTCGATTGCGCGATCGGAGTCTTCCAGTATTGTCTCAGATGTAGTCACTACGCCACCGCGTCTTTCTGCATTGGACCAACTAGCTGAAGAGACTAAAGCTAATCGCCCGCTGTCTCGTTTGAGGTCAAGTCCTGTTAGCCAGCGCGCCGAGAAACCGGGACCGCCGACGAAGGAGACTGTTGCCGATTCCGTTATTGAGGTTAGTGAGCTTTCCGCTAACCGTCCTTGTTGTTTTCCGTCGTCTCATGTCACTACTCCCTTAATTGAGGCCGTATGTTGGATTTAATTTCACCATTGATTGGATGTATCATGATATGCCTCAGTTGACACCGCGATGTAAACAGATGAGTTTCATCGCTTCTACATCGCTCATGTTCGTGGTAGTGCGTCGGAAGACACCACACCGCTGGATTTTAGATTTATTTATATTCCGTTTATCACGTACACATACACGAAGATGTCTTTTGGAGATACTCACCACAAAATACACAATTAAAGTACCAGCCTAAAAGGTTTAAACAGGTTTAACTATTCTTGACCTGTCGAATACTATTCCAACTCAGAAATTTGGACAGGCGAACCACTTGACGCTCCCATATTCTGGGTTTTGCCTTTCCATCAGATGCCACAGAGACTTGCGTATCACCTCTCTTAAGTATTTTACTGTTTATTATTCCTGCCTTCCATTTCCGAACAGACACATACTCCAACAAGTCAAACACTTAGTTCTTCGAACGATCCCACACCGTACGTTGCAAAGTATTCACCGATTTCCGTTGATCATGAGCCAGAACAAAACCTGGACCTACCTTCACCCAACGTCCCCACTGTTCTGGAGTCGTCGAAGCGTGGACGGTCGAAGAGCAGACGTAACAACAAAACCCATGTACTCCACGCCGAGTTCAAGGGCGCCGCATCTGACCTTCGTAGTTATTCTGCTCACAAACAATCTACCGAACGTTTTCCGGCTTCATCGCCTTCCCCACATACTAGTTCATTACCATCTAAACGTCGTCGTCAGAGCGCCACGCCCACCCTCTCACACGGACATATTCCATCTGAATTTGCGTCGTCCCGAGGAACCGGCTCAGTTGCTTCGGTCATGAGTGAGGAATCTGCTCCTGTACCCGCAGCGACATCTGGGTCGGGAAGTTTGCGCCGATACTCATCGTCTCGAACTTCAGCACTTCCACCACGAAAACGGTACAAAGCTGGCATTGATTCACCGGTCGCGGCCAACGATGAGGATTCGACGACCGCGGCTTTGGCAACCGACGCCTCCCAGAACGAAGTCGATGTTATGGCAGCCTCAGATACCTTGTCTATCCCCACTGCTCCTGCTGCACACATTGACGTCGTCGTTGAGTCTTCAAAAGGCGAACTTTCGGCACACCTTACGCCTGCCACCGCCTCTCTTCCACGTGGATACAAACGAGGAAGAGGTAAGCAAGTTACCTATACTGCGAAATTTAGGCGTGCAGTTTTATAAATCTTTTTTTCCGTCCCTTTAATACTTTGCATGAGAACTTTACCTAGTTGCAAACCACCAATGAAGGGTTAATTTTTTAGTGGAAGTTCATCCCACTTGATCAATAAAGCCTTGAACAACTTGTTCGCCCAATGCAGACCGTAAGCTGGGATCCTTTCCCAAGCGACGTATTATTGTTCCCTGAGGTACTCCTTCCCTGCCTGGAGCCGTCATATTGACGTGGTGCTCGGGCTTGAGTACCGCCAAAGTGGACCAGAGACCAGAGGAACCGCGTACTACCGACAATCATATAAAATGAGACGGTCTGAGGGTGAAGTCGTACTGTCGGCTGTGATGGGAATATCAAGGCAGTAAGTTGTTTCCCGCAGGAGACCAGTGTATCCCTATTAATGGAAGCAGCGATGCTGTCTTCCTTCGAAGAAGAATGGGTTGGACAAGGTCGGCCTTAATAACCACACACCCCGATCGTCCACCGATTGACTGTGACCGCCAAAAAATATCCAGCACAGTCGAAAAACAAGTAGATCTTTCCATGGGTCAGGTGCGACTCTGAACTCATTTACTGTGTGAGGCAGCAGCAGGAATGAGATGTATAGGCCTTATTGTCTGAACGGTCAAATTATAATCTAGTTTCATGCAGTCGAGCTAGTCAGACTATTAAGTCATCGGCTCTTTGCAGGACCAGTCATGAAAACCCTACTGTCCGCTGCCTTGCGGGTTGGACTTTTCAGTCAAACGTTCAAGGTTGGGCAGTTGTGAAGTACCATCTGTCTGCCAATATCCTTTCCCAATCCCATCCCACGCTACCGAATTCGCCGGATCATGTGGTTGTCGGTAATCTCATTATCATGCCTTATCCAGTTCGCTACTCACTAAGAATAAACAAAATTAAATCTTTTATGCATAAAGGCTTTCAAATTGCATACTTTATGCCAAACTGGCAAACAGGTAATGCTCGCCCAGTTCTTATACTATCTTAGTTAATGTATGCCGCGTCTCTGGAAGACTCCTGCGAGATTCAAGCGCGGTCATGCACATCCAAGTGTCCTTTCCGACTTCAACTTCTTCACAGTTTTCAGTGGCTCAGTGGTTAGAGCGCGAATTTAGTGACCGGTAGGTCCGTGGTTCGAACCCAACCTCTGCCTTTCGACTTCTCCTCTCTAGGCCTGGACAACCTGGCAGTATCCCAGACCTCGTGCTTCCTTCGGGTGGCATGGCAGTTAGGCACTGAAATGGTGATACAGGCGAACGATTTAGGCTTCCGTCCTCTAAGTGAAGCTAATCTCACGAAACTCTAGGAAGTTTCCAAACCGCAACATCCCGGCTAGTAGTTTGAGCATTTGATAGTTCGGTCATGGGCGGTTCATCGGTATTGTGATTAGCTCGCACTTGGTCAGGATCCGGTGTCACTTATCTTTCAATCAAGAAAGCTACATCACGTGGCCCCTTATCGACTGGCTCCTTCAGTGATGACTTTTCACATGGAAGCTTTGCTCATCTTGTGAAATTATTCCTTCTATGACCTGCTTATCGATTGGTTGTAGTTTGCTTTCCGTGTGTCTTGTGACCCTGAAGCTATGACTTGTGGACTGTATGTTGTAGGAGTTTTACTGAAGTGCTTTGCCGGATTTGATTCCAGTGAACAGTCCTCTTTGTGTCCCTCATTCACCCTGCTCAAGCAAGCCCAACGCTACTTGATATAAGAACCGGTACCCGCTTGTATTGTCAACCTAAACGGGCTACATCTCTGACGAGGTCAACTCATTGTAGACGGGCGCCGCCAGTGGTCTCCCCGGTTATGTGCCGACCATTAGGAATTTTCAGCCAGAATGCTGGCACCAAATAATCCAGCGTCCACCAGGCGCATTTTTACAGTTGACCCAATAGGATCGCGTGGGTATGAGCCACCGTTGGACTGCGGCGCCTTCTGAAGCACACAACTTGATTCCGATCCTAGTGGTAACACACCTGATTATTCACTTTCTTTCGGACTTTCTCACGTCAGCAAGAAACATTCAAATCCACTATCTGAGATTTCCAATAGCTCAGCGGTTCGCACCTTTTTGTTCTATGGGTCAGCGACCTGGCTGCCACGAGATAATGACGTTAAAAAATCGCCAGCGTGTGACCGTCAGTATCCACAGGTTACTCTAGCTTGGTCACATGCTTCTCTTCCCCATAGGTCGCCTTCCTCTTTTATCCTTTTTTCGCACGAGCACATGTAAACGGAGCGGAAAAGGTCAAGCAATCATTTGGTAGTGAAGCGTGATATCCATTACTATCAAAGTTATCTGTGTTAGTCAGTGGCGCGCATGAATCTATGCGATTTCATTCGATGTGTAGCCCCCATCTACTGTCACTTCTGGATTCACGCATCAAGTGTATCAGCTACTGCTTTCAATACATACTTAGCCATCCCTTATTCTCAGATCACGGACGAATGGAACCGTTGCAGCCGTAACCTTTGTGCAACATGTACGCGGTGTACAATTGAGCACGATGATGCTCTCCTACTGTCACTATAACCGACTCTTTCACTCATATAAGGACTGAAGTTTCACATGTGGGAGAAACTTCAAAGTCGAGTGCTAGTCCCCAATGGTATCTTCGAGTGTCTGAGGATATTACTCCCCGTCGCGGTTCTGTTCTTATGTAACCATTTACGGTTTTCTTCGAGCTGTAGGAAACAGTCTTTAACTAATTTGGTTTTCACGAGAGACTCAACTGAATCTCTCTTAAAACCACACTGATTTACAAGTGAGTGTATTTCTCGAAAACAGTCCAATTTGGGTTCAAATAGAACATAAGGTTGACGGAAACTCGGGGACTGCGCCTACCTGATGAGCCCCAAGGAGAGCGAAACCGGTCGTGGGCTGTCGAAGAGTTTTCAGCAACCTTGTGAGAAGTCCTTAACTAGTTTCTAAGCTGAATATCACGGTCGTTTCAGTTCTATGTTGTGCTTTCTCTGTGCCACAGATTCTCAGCTGGCGTTTTAGAGTAGTTTTCCGTCTAACTCGCTTCCAATATTTGTTTTAGAGACTGAGCAGTTGTCATTATATTATCCAAGATTTTCCCGGGGTTAACATTCCCAAATCATTCTTGTCTTGTGTTATAGGACGTCCATCTCGTCGAGCCGGTATCACAACAGGCTCACGTCTACCGGGACTTGTATTGGTCACTGCAACTAGTACTGCATCTCCTCCAGCGATTTCACCGACAGATACTCAACTAAGTGCTGGCACTACGGAACGTCCAAAGCGGGAAGTACGTTTGTTGTCTCTGTTTATACGCCTACGACCCTCTTGATGGAAATTGTTCTTTGGGCTACTCCATGTTTTATCACGCAATCAAACGCTGGACAGAATTTGCTATCCCCAAGCTATCGCTCATAACCTCTCAGTATCCGTTTTCGGTCAAACGTGATCGTGTATTGCGTCGTTTCCTGCGATCCGTATCTACGGAGTGTGTTGAATTCAACTTTTTCTCCTTTTTGGATGTGCCGAAATTAGGCGAGTGCTGTACCACTGCTGCGCTCGCACCTGATACGCATGCTTGAAAGATTCGCAGACCATCAGAGTTAACGCGCTTACTTGTATCAGAGATCCGGAGTGCAGATTCCAGCGCCGGCACCGAATATGCGTTAGCAGTGAACTGTTATAAAAGAGCAACTCGATGCGCACTCAAGTAGATAGCCGCGCCAAGAAGTTATGTGGATACAAACTTTACGCATTTTGATAAATAGCTGATTTCGCGAATCTATCTTTTGGCATATAGTGCAGTCGGTAACTTCAAGCATATTTCACGGCCCTAGCCTGTCCTGCAGATGGAAAGGGTAACAAGGGCTTGTAATGTAAGCTGACCACACTAGACTACTTTATTTCAGCCACACATTCAACTGGCGTTTACGGCTGTAGCGCAGTGGGATGGTACTGGAACTTTAGTTTACCTGTACACTTGTCATATACCAACGAATATATGCTGCCTCCATAAATGGTTCCTGCCTATGGCGAACCATTATTGTAGCCGTATGAATAACTAACAACTCATAGATGATCGGCGAATCATCACGTGTCAACGTAATGATTGGCGAGAAACTGTGGCAATTGATTGAATTTTGCTTCCGTACAATTTTTAGCTCAATAGTCAAGGCGCGATTTCACTGAGCGGAAGGTCTGTGCTTGGAGCTCAACCTCAGCGTCTGGACTGCTCCTTTCTAGACTTTGACAACCTTGCAGTATCTCAGCTGCTGTGCTTTCTTCGGATGGGATGGCACCGAAGTGGTGTCACGACTGAACGATTGCACTACTATTATCCGTACAACTTTGAGTATTGCATTCGCTATTGGAATGCTACTCACGTGGTCCGTTGTTGGACAGCAGTTTCAGCCCACCTTAAACGTTGGGTGCTAAAAAGCAAAACAAAAGCTGGATAGAGGTTAATACTACAATCTGTTTGTCCTAGCAGAACAACTCTGAGCACTTGGAGTTTGTTTTGTTCGGTAACATGCGTTTACTCTCCACTGGTGCAGGACAGCAATAGTCTGATGTTTATTCCGAAACATAGCTGATTCACCCCGTTTGTCTTCGCTCTCTGATTTTTCAGGCCGCGGCTATCGGATTTGCCAGTCTTGTTGCAGCTAACCTCAACAACAACAGCACTACGATTACTTCTCTCGATTCGCCGGCTTCTCGATCACAAGGAAACGAAACTCCAACCGCACGTGTGGCGGATGTGTCGGTTGACGGCGTTCCACCTGTGACCCTACCTGCTCCCACTCCACGAGGCCGTGGCAGGCCACCCAAACCCAAACCAACCCCTCAGCCGCCAGCTTCGGTAGCTCCCACTACGGGTTAGTTTGATCGCTTTTTTTCAAAACCCACCTGCTGTCATTGGGTGACATCTAACATGGTGTCTCTTGTATGATGCTTAGTTAACCTAAACACCTCATTTTGCCTCACTTTACACTGCTTTCAATGAGACGGATTTACACATTTCTTCAGTTGAATGCAAGTGGATGGCCAGCTTGTTGTTTCCTACAACACAGCCCAAACATTGTGTCCATTTGGCCATCTTTTCAGTACATAAGCCTGCTTCATAGTTGTCGGATATTGTTCGTGCGATTTCGCAGGCAGCTCCTGTCGTCATTCTCAGTCATCTTTTGTTCGAGTCCGCAGTCATACATTTGGGGCAGCAGTATTCGGCCGGTTCACCTGGTCTGATACAACCCTTCTTACTTCACCCATGGGCCTTGTTCATCACTACTCACTAACTGTAAATGCCCAATTTCTACGTTGTTCTCTTCCAAGTCTTGATGCAGTGCGTTCCTCCCGGAGCATAAATTCATCCTTTCCACTTCCAGATACGGACGTTTCCAAGCCTTCTGAGCTACATTCATCCGTTGGGTGAGTCATGCATCTCAGCTTCTGTTCTTGTTGTATGTTCTTTTTCGTGTTTCATGGTAACCATAATAGAATTATTTGTTATTTTGCCCCACAGACGCAGAAAACGACCTGCAGATGTTCTCTCCCCCAGCGGGAGGAATATCAAACAGGCCCACTTGGCTTCTATAACACCCGCTACTCCGAATGCTGTCCCGAAAGAGCTTGAGGAACGAACTAGTCCGAGTGGTACTCTACGAACGCACGTGGAAGAACCATCGGCATCGATTGTGAGTATCTGTAACTGATAGTGGGTCCTACTGCGACTAAACCACTAAAACAATTTTTTTACTCATACGATTTCCTTCGTCAGTGCTGCATTGGTGGTCCGGACAGTGGGACCGCAATTTCTAAAGAATGAGAAGACGAACTAATCAGAGCTCTCACACCTGCTCAGGACTGGTTGACGGAATGGGATCGCCAGTTGCCTCCCTTACGCATACATTGTCAATTCGCCTCAACTTTGCTACCGTCACCGAACAAGCTAGTGCAGCCATTCGGTTCTGGTCTTTCCTATTGGTTTGAACCTTTTGTTTTCGCTTGTGACCATCCTGACTGACTAGACGTATCGGGATCACGACGTGTTCGAGTGTTCCTATGTGAACTTTGAACTACTGGTTGTTCGATTCATCCGCTGGTTGTAGTAGTCGCTTTGAGATAGCTTTATTGCTGGACGACTCATCGCCTCCGTAGTTGACGTCGTCTGATCATGGACTGTTACGTAACACAACAGTTCAGCTGTCGGACCTCTTTGGTGCATTTCCGACGTACAGTGGAAGCGAAACATGTTGGTTAAGTTGCTGCGAGGTTTTCAAGTTTAGACAGAAGTATTGGAATAGCCATGTTTGAATTGAAACTTCTATCAGTAGTATGAAACTATTAAGTTTACCCTACTTTGTGAAAAACGCCCAGCTAACAGAAGAACACAAACTAGGTGAGGACTAGATATTAGACCATTTTGGTCGCTCGTCTGAATCGAAGGGCACCAAAAATTATTGCTCTTCATGCCACCCGTCATTTTCTCCAGTAGCCTACCTCTTTTTCACAGTATCCACAAGGAAAGAATCAGTTCTACTGCATTCTTTCATCAGGCTTATTTGAGCCCCCGCGTTATTGCACGCAATGGTTAGGTTTTGTGAAGCCTATCTTCCGACTGTCCTTAGGTTTTCGATGCCAAGGTCAGTATTACCGGTAACGTAAACTGTGGATGTGATGGAATCACAGCTGTAGCGTATACCCAAATTGAATAGAACGCCAGGAAAGGGGCTTTTAAGCTTCTCTTCTGGAAGAGGTCACACCTTGCGGTGTCTAGGAGAGTATCGTTATGTTCTGTCTTCGGGGGGTTGGGTCGTGGCTGTAAGTAGGCTAAATTTTGACTTGATTTTCTACCTATTTCGTGAGCAAATGTTTTTTCATCTTGACAACGGAGCAGCTCATGGCAAAAGATGAGTGACATTAGGATGATTGTTTTACGGTCGTTGTAATCTTTCTCCCTTTCATTTGGTGACAGCTCCCCTCAACTGACTCTGAACCCTTTGGATTGCCGGCAGCCTCACCTGACGTCGTCCCACAACCTACCACTCCACGGAAAGTTGGCCGTCCACGTTCGAATAAGGCACCTGAAACACCTGTTCGGAAACTCATCAATCCTGTTTCTATTCCACAAGCTTCGCCAGACTCATCCACCATACAACTTCCCAGCAGGATCAGTCTGTTTAAAGGACATCTTCTTACAGAGTACGTGTGTAGATTTGCGCAGCTGTCCAGTTCATCTCATCTTTTGGTCTATTTTTTAGACTCAACTGTTCTTTCGGTTCCTTTAGGTTAACTCATAAACCTTTTGTAATTTTTTATTTCGCCGTTTCAGTCCAATCTCACTAGGAATGAATTCGGTCGCTTCAACCAAAGGCCCAGTCTGTGATATTTTCCTGCGTTTTCTGAATGAGCCGGATCCACTTGAACCCGATTCTCGTCTGTGTGCCCCGTTCATTTTCCTACCCATCCCCGAACGGTGAGTCTTTTTCTGCTGTTGAGTCTTTTAGCATTTCAATTTTGAAATTTCCACTCAGCTTACCTATGGTTGACTCTGCTTCCTTTTTGAATTCCGTTTTTTTTAGCTATCCGGAATTTTATCGTTTCGTCATCTCGTCCTATTCTGGAACGCTCATCCGAACTCGGTTCGTTAAGTCCTTCCTGAGCAGGCTTTTCTCGGTGGAACCCTCAAACGGAACAGTACTTGACGAACCTATTTTTGGGGTAGAGTTCCCATCTCTGTGTTTGGCCAGTATTGCCAGACGATTTGTAATTGAGGCGGAGGACAGCGAACAGTTGGAGAAGCTCGCCCAAGATCTGGGCCTCACGGAGTCCGAACTTGGCCTAATATCGCTCAACCCCGCTGATGTTGAGAATAGCATACCATTACTTGACGCTGCCGTAGAAAGTGTCCTAACTGTTTGGGAATCGTTCGCTGGACGTCGCAGCTGGTTGGGACGTCGATTGATACGACTTCGGACAGTGTACTCCACCCTGCGGGTAGGTTGTTTGTAACGTCCATCGCCTGCCTTGCGCACATTTTTAGTGTTTAGCAAACTACTCGAGTTTAGCTAGTAGGCAAATAGGCCACCTTTTTGTGGGGCTTGTGTTGTCGCACTTGCTCATGTCTTCTTTCCCTATTTCAGAACGATTGTGCCCGGTCGTTTGCTGAAGAATATGGACAGTTTATTCCTCCACTCAAAGCTACTGCTGTGCTGAATATGCCAGTATGCAAGACACCCGGTGCTGGTGTGAAGAAAAAGGTACCTGGAAGTTGTACTGCGTCTTATCGGGCATGTGTTTTGTTTGTCTTCTCTGTTTGTCATGTTTTTATTCTAACAGTGTATTGCTATGGTGTTTTTGTTTCGTTTGATAACCTAAGTAACCGACTAACTGTTTGTGTAATACCACCAGGCCGACCGCCGTGCGCTGGAACGAGGAGCAGAGGTGATTCGCTGTCTCTGTGGGTTCCGTGTCGAAGGTGGGCACGCTATGGTACAATGCGATCGTTGTGCCTCTTGGCAACATTTACCTTGCCTTTGGTGGGCATTGAATCAGGCTATCAACAACCGGCGGATGAATAGGACTGTTGGGCGGTCCGGTCTGTGCCAAGCCGCCTTGGTCGCGGCCCAAGCCGCCGGATCTGGATATTTGGCCGAGCTGATCGAACCGAAGCTGAGTACGAAATCGGATGATACGGATCTACCTTACATTTGTCCAGTTTGCCTGGAATTACCTGATTTGACACTGGTGAGCAAACTAGTCAATTTGATTACAGTTTGCATTAGGCTAGGTTTCGATAACTTTGTATGTTCTGACGCGTAAATTGGTCACTCTAGATTGTACGAATTGGACGAGGTGTTTTAGTCCGCAACGTTCGGCTGATTTGCCAACAGACCTCTCACTGGATCCCAAGCTTTAAGCTTTCCTCGTATCACTCTAGATTGTACGAATTGGACGAGGTATTTTAGTCCGCAACAATCGGCTGATTTGCCAACAGACCTCTCGCTGGATCCCAAGCTTTAAGCTTTCCTCGTATTCTTGTTTATCTGTGAAGGAATATCCACGATCTCTGTCTGCTGCGATGGCCATGAACGATCTGGATTCTGTGTTCAGTCTACAAGAGACAACCGTGGAAGGTGAGCATGAATTCTGGAGCCTGGCTAGTGTTGATGGTCGACATCAGATACGCACTGATGACTACGCTTTCGTGAACCGTGCATGGATGGAATGTGTACGCACATCACAGGGCGTGTTAAATCGTGCGGATATGAAATCACGCCATCTCACCATAGATGAGGCTCGAGCGGCGGCAGACGCCCATCCGATTACCACGTTCTACGACCGAGTTGTCATCCGAATCTACCGACTGTGGAAAGATAAAAGGTATGGTTTTTGTGTGAACTTTTGCATCTGCTTTTCGGTGGTTGGTTTATGGCATGGTTTCCTGGTATAAAATCATCCCTTTACGGGAAACCTTTCGATAGAACCGACTTTTGGTGGGCCTCAGGTGGGAGTTACTTTTTAAATGAGCTCTACCTGGAGGAGGCGAACACCCTTTTGGGTATATACATGTTGCTTCTTGAAAGTACTATATCGAACATCTGTTATCCATCCAGTTTATTCTGCCGGTAGCTCGCTCTTGGTTCTGCGCTAACCAAGCCGGCGGAATGAAGTATTTGGTCCGCCGGTGGCTGTCTCGTCGATATCTGAAAATTTTTTCACCAGTACACTGGTGGTAATGAGAGGGCCAACAAGGTTGGAAATCGAGTTTTGGTGATCAGCGTAGGACACATGTCACCATCTAATTTGGTGGCTTCAGCAGGGGTTCTGAAAAGTATTTTCCCTTGGATTGCGTTGCTTTTATAATGCATTCCACTTTTGTTTCATATCTTTCTTTTCTATCAGTGGAAAACCGTGGCTAGAAGGTGGCCTTTTCCTTCGACCGTATGATCTCTTGGTGACTTCTGAGGAAACAGATGAGACTGACGCCACTCAGCAACGCTTGTGGCACTATCGTGAGGTGGTTTACGATGAAGCTAGTCGACTTGTACTTCCGCTTTCTGCCTGGAGCGGTAGGTGCGTCGTTCTTTGCACGTCCGCTTATCGCACTGGCCGTCCGGCTGATCTGCTTTCCTCGCATGAGGCTGATCAGTTTTTGTCCGGATACACGATGGTCTGCAATCCAAATGAACCTCAGAATAATACTTTGGAAGCGATCAAACGACAAGCTTGGAGGAATCAATTGTTCTTTGTCTGTGATAAATTGTTTGAGCGTGCTACACCGAGCAGTCAAACAACCACTGTTCGATTCGATGAAATTTCCCCCGGTTATCTCAAAGTCAACATGAGGGTATGTTCTTTGCTGATCAGCCAATGGTTCAGCATTCCAATGGAGTTATTGATTGCCTACTCAACTTTTTGTATTTTTTTGTGTTCCATAGCCCTATTGCTTCTTACGCAAACCGGATGTGACTGTCGGCCGAGCCACATTACCTCGTCATTTTACCGCCGCTCAGCTGTTGGAGTACGACCGAGTTCCAGTGAGCGAAGTAGATGCTCCTGAACCCCCTACTCCGACATCCGTTTCATTTCCGATCTCATCGAAGCCTAAAGTAAGTTTTCTGGCCACTCATACGTTCCTATGGTTGTATGACATTCGCCCCATTGCGCCCAAATTTTGGGAAAATCAATAAACTACTGTATGTAGTGATCACCATCACCCTAGGCTTTCTATGCATTGTGTCCACGTCAGCTGCGATGATAGGAACTGGGTCTCTTCCGTGATTAGAGATTTTTCGGTGGTTTACAGTGAACTGTAGCAAAGACGCATCCAAGAAAAATTTTAGCAGCACGATAGGTCTTGAATTCTCACGTTTCGTCTTTTGCTCTGTTATCTTCTTACCATCATCTTGTTTTTTTTTATTGGCATCAGCATAGCCCTATTGCTTCTTACGCAAACCGGATGTGACTGTCGGCCGAGCCACATTACCTCGTCATTTTACCGCCGCTCAGCTGTTGGAGTACGACCGAGTTCCAGTGAGCGAAGTAGATGCTCCTGAACCCCCTACTCCGACATCCGTTTCATTTCCGATCTCATCGAAGCCTAAAGTAAGTTTTCTGGCCACTCATACGTTCCTATGGTTGTATGACATTCGCCCCATTGCGCCCAAATTTTGGGAAAATCAATAAACTACTGTATGTAGTGATCACCATCACCCTAGGCTTTCTATGCATTGTGTCCACGTCAGCTGCGATGATAGGAACTGGGTCTCTTCCGTGATTAGAGATTTTTCGGTGGTTTACAGTGAACTGTAGCAAAGACGCATCCAAGAAAAATTTTAGCAGCACGATAGGTCTTGAATTCTCACGTTTCGTCTTTTGCTCTGTTATCTTCTTACCAGCATCTTGTTTTTTTTATATGGCATCAGCTTCCTTACTTAACGCAGAAGCTCACTAAACCAGCTCGCACTACTTGTACCTTCAAAATGTAACTCGCGGAGCTGGAATGACTTTTTCACTGCTAGATCTTATTCCATTGAGGTTCGGTACAAATCTAGCTTTTCAGGGGGTGCCTCCCGGTCTTTTTTATCTGGAAAAAGAATTTAATCTTGTGCACCTTTTCGCATTTTTTTTCAAAGAATTTCTTACAGAAGTTTCAGGAGATTGTCATCTAACTCATTGTGATGAGTAGTTATTTGTAAAAACTCCAACCGCCTGTTTCGATGAAGTGCTCACTAGAGCCCTTCTCATCATCTTTTCGTGCGCTAACTTCTAATTTTCACTGGGTTGCCCACTCACGTCTCCTTGTTAAACTTCCAATTCTGTTTCCCTCTGTCGCTGTTTTCAGGGAGAGAAGCTCGCGCGTGTTGTTGATTGGTTGGAAAGGAAGCGTCTATTGGATATTCAGACAGTCAGTAGTAACCAACAGCCGATCGAGCCAGCGGCTGCTCCCGCTTTATCACTTCCGACAACCCCGCATCGGGGGCGTCCTCGTGGATCTCGGGGGCGAGGTCGTCCACCTCGTTCCGTATCGCAGCCTGTGGCTGAACTGGGATCCGAGATTTCAGGCCAAGCTCCAACGGCTGTTGTTCACTGTGACTCTGCTGCTGTACAACCGGACGGTGCTTTAGAAATGGCCGATGCTGTTACCATTACTGAGTCTGCCGTGGCGGAGCAGCCGGCTGATTCTTCAGAGCCCACTGCAAAGAAGTCATTACGACGTGCGCAACCTTTGCAGCGCAAGAACTGTCTACTGTTTCGGTATCTGCCATTGAGGTTCCCCAGGAGCGACTTGAACTCTCCGAACCTTTATCCGAAATTATTGTAGCTCCAGAGCTATTGGGACGCGGGGAGCCTAAAATTGAACCTTTACCCGAAGTTGTGCCCCTTGAGCCCATACCGTCAATATTGGGACAAGAATCGGACGACGTGATTTCTTCAGCCACATCACCACAGGCTACTGGAGCGGACAACGACAAGATTGTGATTTCGGAAGATAGCTTGAAGGTAGACAACCCTCCGACTTCGTCTGATTCAAACACAACTGAGGTTGTCAACTCGCATACCACAGAGAGGCGACGTTACGCTGTTGTAAACACACCTGCCGACAGTATGAGCACTACCTTTGCTTCAGCACGGAAACGTAAGTGTGCCGTAACCAGAAAGCGGATAGCCTCAGCTTCAGCTTCCGTCATCTCTGAGGTACGTGAAACAACTACCTTCTTTTCGGACTCAGAAGTGCCCACAGAGCCTGCTTTAGAAGCGTCCAGGAATCTAGCTGAGGACCCTTTTCCCATACCAGATAGTACCCTCCTTAGGGAAAGCGCCTCAAGTGAATCTGAGCCACAGCCGATTCCGCATGAAGATGACCATCTGACAGATGTAAGTTTCAAGAGTGCAGTTGCATGTAACTCTCCACTCACTGCCTATACACCCTCGCCGAAGTCTTTGTACGAAGCTGAAATCTGGGAAGGGCCTCAACTCAGTCCGACACTTACTGCAACGGAATTGCAAGAAAACAACCCACTCAACATTCCCACTGAAACATTGACTTTGACCGAGTATAGGATTGAAGTTCCAACTACTCAGAAGCAGGTTGTCGATGAAGTACCATTTGAAGCTGGCCAAGAAGCGTCTGCGGATGGTGATGTCTGTGCTCATACTGTCACATCTAGTTCGATATCCAGTCCCGGAGGAAACACCGTGGACGTTCATCCTGAAGCGGATTTCTCTGCGGTTTGCTCGGACCAGGTGATGGAGACAAGCCAGGACAAACCTGACAGTCCGGAGGCTATGGTTACTCAAACTACAGAAGTAGAAGCACTGGTGTCCACATCATCACTTGAAGAAACTTCCGCTTCGAGCCCTCAGAAGTCACTAGCCCCATGTGAACGAGTTCAGAGTCCAAATACTCCAAGTTTGAAAATAGGTGACCCCACAGACTCCCAGACCTCTTGCGTCAAAGAGCAATCCGATGCGGACACTACTAGGAAAGGATGCACAAACTTTTCAGTGGATTGTCTTGCATCAGACGAAACCACTCCATGCCTTCGATTTGAGGAGCGTGAAAGCTCTTTGTCACAACCTGACGAAACCGCGGAAACCAAATGTTCGTCGTCGCCCCAGCCTGGCAACAATCAGCTGTCTCGCGAGTCTCATTCAACCAAATTATCCGCCTCTCCTGACTCTGAAACTCCGTGTGTGACGGCTGCTTCGTCTGTTCCCGACGCCGACATTCACTCGACTACTGAAAATGGGACAACCCCCTACCTAGAGTCTTTTGTATCGGATTCGGGGAATGACTCTGGAGCCACCCCAATCCTCGATGAACCGGCGATGTGTGGAGATTCCAGCCATCAACCGACGTCGTCGCATGATATGGATAGCTTCTCCCCCACCCGAATGATGGACCCCTCGGTAAAGGCCAAGTTACCCTGGTGCGAACACCCTACTAGTCCCGTCCTCCCAGAATGGTCCGATTCCACCCGATTACAGTATAACCACCAGGGTTCGAACCGTCAGCAACAACATTCTCGTTCAGATCCGCCATCTCATCGAGGAGACAGATCCAGAAACCAGAAGGCCGAAAATACCTCACGGCACAGTTCTCTTGCCTCCGAGAGGTATGGTAGTAATCACCACCGGTCATCCGATCCACGAAGTACCCACAGCCGTAATGATCGCTACGGTTCCGCTCAATCTTCGCATCCTTGTAGTGGTAACAGCAGCAGCAACTCGCGATCTAATTACCATGGATCTCATCGACACGATCGAGATCGTGATGACTACCGCTACCCGTTTCACGGTCACCGAGACCGATCCCGGTCTGATTCTGACCAATTTCATCATAGATACTACCACAAAGATTATCCAAATCCTAACCGCTATGAGAGCAATCACGGCCGCCGATCTCACGAATCACGACACCCGAAATTTCCTAGGAGACATGACTCAACTTGAACTGCGGAGAAGAAACCCACACATCCCTTCCCCTCACTCATACGAGAGAGAGAGAGAGAATATTCGCGTTCCGCGATACTGGTATCAATTATACTTTGATCACACGACTCAGTCACTCTATCTTACGCCCATGTGATGTCTGCCTCCTATTGGTCATCCATCATACATCGTGACAAACACGGACAATCCTTGTCACACCCTGATTGCGAATAGTTCTCTGTTCACCCTGAAGCCGGTTATGTCTGACAGTGGTGTTGTCTCGTTCTTTTCTCTGTATTTACTTCCGGCGGTCAACTTACGACTTCTACTGGATCAAGCGTAGGGATCTCTCACACTTCTCACACTGTTGCTGCTATCCGTGTACATAATTTCGGTCGCTATCGGCCTACCGGTTCCCTTCCGTCGTCGTCACTTTTAGTTGTCCATGTTTCATGTCATCTTACGGTTTCTGGACGAGTGATGCAGGTGCTCCCTGCGGTCATTGATCGTTTTTCTACTCTAGTTTATATAATACCGCGTATTCTTATCTTCCTGTTGTTTGCTTTTCACACGATATGAAATTTTGGATCGCTGCACCTTGGGAACAATCCACAATGTTGCTTCTTTCACTTATTTAGACGCGCGCGCGCACCCACACACGCATTTCGACGACGCTTGTATCTCCTCCTGATCCTAGCCACTACTTCCTGATTTGATCACCCATATCCTGTCAGTCTGTAGCTGCATTTCCGGCATCCCGCCCCCCATTGTACATACACTAATGAATGGTCCGGTCATTGACTGATGACGTCTATTCTTGGTTGGTGTTTTTTCACTCGCATGTGTATCATTCATTTTTTGCCCTAATTTTGTACTCCCTTGCATTCTCAGCTACTGAACGTCTTTTCATCGACTGTTTTGTTTTTTTGCTTGGGGATGGATGGGTTGTAGATTTGCTACGGGGAACTTGATTTTGCTTGGGGATGGATGGGTTGTAGATAACTACTCTGATTTGCTACGGGGAACTTTCTGAGTTCTGCTGGCCAACAGCCATAACTCGGCAATGATTGGGGACTATCATTCTTCTTCTGGATACTGACTGCTCAAGTAGATCGTGATCATCTGGTTTCTATGTGGACGAAAAACCTCATCATTCCACAGTTGGTGTGAGGTTTGTGATAATGCTTACTCCTGGGTATCAACGATCTAACACTTTCAGGGACTGGTCTGAAACCAGAACAAATCGGGCCCTGTGAGCTATCTGTATTTTGAATGCCCGTACACACTTGTTGTACTACCTGTGGAATTAAGCATTCCCAAATTGTGAGCTTCTAACAGAACCGCCCCATTCGGGTCTTTTTGGACAACCACTCCCTTGTAGCGTTCATCGGCCAACAGGGAAATCTGCTGTGGAGTGAGACAGATAGACTCACCAGGATTCTTGAGTTCTTGGGGAGATATCATCAAACAGTCTCTTGTTCCTCCCAATCTTGTGTGTTGGTTGGTTGGTTTCGATAGTGGCAGTTATGGAACTCCTTAGTTGCTAGCCTATACCCAGTAATCGAGGTTTCCTGGACACAACATTTCCATGTTCTTATCATAAGTAAACTGTCTCTTATGTTTCAAACACGAGTAGTTCGATGGACAGAAAGGGCTGAATCACACGAGGTCCCTCATCTCTGTTAGGACTCAACGAAAGGATGTGAATGACTTCCACCTATACTCTGTCACAGTTTCGGCTACAATAATGGTCAGTGGGAGTTGGGATCTCCAGAAAAAACAGCGTTTTTGGGAAGTGACTGAATTCGATTCATCGCTTCCGTTTATTGTATCTGAACAGATCAATGGCTTGTAACGGCTTGTTAGGGCGAGATGGCCCAAGTGGTTAGAGCGCGAATTTACTGACCGGAAGGTCCGTGGTTCGAATCCGACCCCCGCCACTCGACTTCCCCTGTCTAGGCTTGGGCAACCTGGCAGTATCCCAGCCCTCGTGCTTCCTTCGGGTGGCATGGCAGCTAGGCACCGGAAGGGTGCTACAGCTGAACGCTTTCTTTCTTTCTGTTACGGTCTAGTGCTTGCGGCTCGTGAGACATGTTTCGATTTGTCCCCTCGCAGTTCAAGGAGAATCACTAGAGGTCATGGAAAATTTTACGTATCAGTTTTGGCGAAAATGTGTCTGATGAACTCAGTGCACGAATTCCAAAGCCTGGATTCACGTTTGCTATTTTGCGTCACTTGTGCCGTCAAAAAAGCATCACTGAATCTCAAGGGTAGCGCGTAGCACGCTACAATGAGGTCCGTTTTGTTTTTTGGTTGTGAGACGTGGCCTCCACCTCTTACCACCGATGCCTCAGAAGCGTTGCCCATGTCTGATGGCGTCATGAGTTTGTAATGAGGTAATTGCGGGTGTTTGGCTGTGTGGTAAGTACTTCGTTCGCGGGAGACATCCACCCCATCAACTGCTGTAGCTCGGCCATGTGCTGCGCATGCTCACTGAGTCGTTTGTTCTCCGTGCCTCCTTCAGAATGGCACAAGTTGCGAGGCCTGGGAGGGTGTGCAAGGGACTAGGAATGGTTTTGGAGTTGGTGCGGTCCGACTTCCAGGATGGGTCTCCGTGATCCCATTGTGCACTTGACTGGTGACATTGCAAGAAATGAAAGTTAGTGGCGTCCGTGCTACCAATTTCTTTCCAGGTCATCTAAGATGTGTAGGTTCTTCAGAATGCTTGCCACAATCTAGTACCGGGTCAGACTCTCATTCGCCCTTCTTGTCTTTTCACTTCAGGACTTCAATGATAATTAGGTGAACTTTGTGTTTGTTCAGCAGCAATGCATCGGCGTCAACACTCATGGTGGTGGTGATATTTCGATTTGCTCACATATTACGGGTTCTAACGAAGACAGTTTTTCAGTCCCCTCGGAGCATCTGTTTCATCCACATTTGTCGCTTTATATCCGGTGGCATTGTGGTCCCGCAGTAGAGTAACTTCAGCTGCCTCAAAACCCACCTAGTTGAAGCAGTTCCAAATGGTGTTTTTTTCACAAGGTGCTTGTTTGGTGACCCATCAGACGGTTATAACTAGAAGGCTTTCCTTCCTAGTATGGTTCCTTGGAAATGCTGTGTATAACTAACACCTGAGGATCTGTTGGCATGATCCGCGTTGATCTTCAGAAGCGGAATGAACATAATGTCATTTGTTTCCCAAAAATAAGTGGACGTTAAATCACCACTGGTAACTACACTAAACCCCATGGATTAGGAGCACCCCGCACTTGTTCGCCTATTTATGTGCGGAAATTCACGGTGGTTACTTAATTTATTATTTTCACTAATGAATCTAGTTACTAACATGGTGGTGCGAAAAATACCATATTGAAATACCGCGTAGATATCACCTGATCCGTTTTGTCCGTTTCGGCCAAACCGAAATACAGTATCTTCATCGTCCTGTGCACACAGTTAAGGACAATTCGCGCTGTATTTTGCCTGTGGCGTTCTTCTTGGTCGCCGGCGCACTGGAGACTGAAGCGATGGGCTATGTTGAGTTTTAAAAGTTTGTTTATTGTAGTATTCGCGGGCAGGCAAGGCGAGCCGCTGTGCAACCATTACTTGGGATAGCGAGTGAAGACAACATCGCCGCTACTCGGCCGGACACCATACACGAAGGACTGAGAGCAATGAATCCTTGGAGAGATCTATTGCCTTTTTCTGTTAAGCTGTGTGGGTCAAAACAATTAGTTGGTCAGTGCCTACTCAGCAGCGTGTAGCAGCAAAACTTTCCTAGATTTTGCCCATTTGTATCTTGCCATTCCCACCAAGGAAGGATGCCATAACCTGTAATCGGGTTGGTCATTATGAACTTTCCTAGCATCGCCTCGACCAATCGCTTGCAATAATTTTGCAACCACTTCCTGCTCACAATTGAATCACCATACAGTGCTCAGCGTAGAGAACTGTCAGTGATGTCCATGTGATCGACATCATTCGCTGAAACATGCTGGCCGGCTTTTTTGGGACCCATCAGTTTCTATGGTAAACATATTCGAACTTGGCGGATTCACTCAACCAAAGGAACAATTTGGCCGCAGCGTTGGGCCACGTAACCCAGTTCACACGTACCGGGGATCATTGTGGATGCCCAAACAGGGACGGCTCCGCTTCACCGGCTATTTTTATTGCAAAATGAAGACTTGTTTACTGAACAATAGATGTTGAGCATGGGTTTGCGAAGTGTCGTTCTTTATGACAGAAAAGTAGACTGACGAAACATAGTTGGTGGTGAATTCGCACGACTGCCGTACTCTTGGCGTTTTGTGAAATTCGGTCGGGCGCGTAGATTGAAACTCCGGGACGCATGCACATTCCAAAGGGGGCTCACTTACACTACATCATAGGTTGCAGATTTAAGTCCGATTCGAGTTAGGGGAGGTGTGCATTTCCAATGACTGACATTCAGACGGACATAAGCTTGCATTGTTTGGGTTGGCTAGACAGAAACTGCATTCGAAGGTTATCTAAACGTGTCTTTCGGAGGCGACTCAATACTAGTTGCTCAGCGATGACTAGTGGGCTGATCAGAATCTTCATTCTATTTAGTTATGCATTCCCGACCGATTTCTGTCACTTGTCGATCGCCAAAACCCCAGAACTTTGTTTTTTTTACCCAGAATCTGTGTGACTGGCAACAACACCCGGCTCTTCGTTTTGGCCATGTTCATAGGCGTTGGAATTCTCTAGAGACGGGCAAAATACTCACTCAGAGCGCTATCTTCTCTTTGAACGCGCTGAACTTTCCTTTCCTGGATTTTCATTGGCTGATGCTCTAATCCAAGGAAATTCTAAAAAGCGACTCCACAAATTCCGCAATAGATCTCACTTTTCAAGAGACGACAAGGCGAACTTACAAGAAAACATACTACTCGCATGCCTCCCCATCAGTAGTATCACCGTTACACTCAACGTTTGTGCTGTTTCACGTCCAGTCCGTCGAATCCCAAGGAAACCATAATTATTCCACTGCTTTAGCTCTCTCTTTCAATTTGTGCGCTTCAGTTCCCGGGAAAAGATAGCCATTGATGCACGCAACGGCAGTTTTACTTCTCACCCTGTCTAACGACTCGCTGTAATGGCGCGATCTATGGTGTGGCAGTTCGGATCAGTCGAAGGAGGAAATAATTTTGTCGATAAATCATTCACGCAAATTGAAGAATGCTATGCGATTACCTGGTGCCTACGTTTGCAAGAGGACCAACGTAGGCTTACCGAGGTACGGCACTGAGTGAACGGTGAGTGCCTAACATCGAAATCATCCATAATCAATATGGTGCAAATCTGAAGGACGGGTTGGGGACGTCATTCGATCGTCGTATTGCACACTTGCGCTTTCTCATCTAATGTGCTTAGGATTGTTTCCAGGATGTTCAACTATTGAGAGTATGCCCCACCGAGAGTATATGGCCCAGTGGTTAGAGCGTGAACTTACTGACCGGAAGATCCGTGGTTCGAGCCGACCTCCGTCTCTCGACTTCCCCTCTCTAGGCTTGGACTACTTGGCAGTATCCCAGCCCTCGTGCTTCCTTTGGGTGGCATGAGAGCTGGGCACCGAGAGCGTGTTACAGCTGAACGATCGAGAGTGTGACTGTGTTCTTCACCAAAGCGGGATTGACTAGAAAAACAGCGTTAGATACTGAGAACTGTTTCATCCAATAAAATTGTCGTAGAGCATTCTGACTACGAACGACAACAGTGCTCAACTCCTTTCATCTACTCCTAGTCCATTTCCGAAGTCTCCCGGTTAAAATGATATGGCTTTTTAGGTATTTCGCGTGCTACGCACTGAACAATTAGACTGCATACAGTAGTTCAGGTTGTCTTTGTTTCCTGTCCCAAACAGTACACTTATTTTCCGTAGAGCTTTTGTACACAGCTTCAGAGAACTCTGTAGAGAACCTGTAGTTTGGCCAACACAATTTTTGTGGAAGTCGTTCTCATGAGAATATTTACTTCCCACATGATAGGTAAGCCCCATTCTGTTCATTACGAATTCATGCAGTTTGGTACAATTTTATCGAACCACGGTCGTATTTCACTTGAATGCCACCAACACGATCAAACTGTATTTGGTAGCTAAACTGAATGTGGCATTTCTGACCAACCACGTACGAGGGTTGAACCTGTGCAATCATCAAATCGATTTTTTAGAGCTCACTAGTTACAAAAACAACGACGGTTCATCCTTTTTGTCTAGACTGTTGTTATGCCATTGCGACTAATTGAGTTGGTGTAGAAAGCGAGTTTTTGTGCTCTTCAAAACCAGTCAGTGTTGTTGCGTTAGAAAAGAAACTTAAAGGCATGGCTGCCTGGACGTGCTGTGAATGACAACTAGGCTGACGTCCACTCGGAATGTAACCCAGGAGATTTTTGTCCAATATAGGGCCACCGAAATGACCTTATCCAGCGGTAAA